CGTCCCGTGTCTGCCGGCCCCATCTCTCCCCGCTGCCCCCATGTGCCCCCCATGTGCCCCCTGCCGCCCCCTCCATCCCCCCTGTCCCGTGTCTGCCGGCCCCATCTCCTGCTGCTGCCCCCCTCGCTCCCTTCCTGCTGCTCCCCCTACAGGACCCTCCCTCCAGTGTCCCACTTCCCCTCCTTGCACCCCATTTGCCCCTACTGCAGACCCTCCTCCCGCCCCAGAGATCAGGAATAGAACCCAGGAGTCCTGGCTCCCATGTGCCCCTGCAACCCCCCATGTCTCCCTGCTGCACCCCCATATGCCCCTGCTGTACCCCCATACGTGCCTCCTTGAAACCCCCAAATGCCCTCACCCAATGTACAGAACTGCCAGCCCGAAACGTTCACAGGTCCTGAGATTTGTTAAACACTAAAGGCCCCCGGCTCCCACTCACACTCACCACATGTGCTCAAGCCACGAGGGCGAGAAACTTTCAATGAACTTTCAATGAAAGCCAAGAGCCGCACTGCAGTCTGGTGGTGCCAGGTCTGGGGGGGCTGGTGGGTTAGAGCAGGGGGGGGCCGGGTGCCAGGACTCCTGGGTTCTCTCCCCGGCTCTGGGAGGGGAATGGGGGCTGGTTGGTTAGAGCAGGGGAGGACTGGGAGCCAGGACTCCTGGGTTCTCTCCCTGGCTCTGGGAGCGGAGTGGGGGCTGGTGGGTTAGAGCAGGGGGGGCTGGGAGCCAGGACTCCTGGGTTCTCTCCTGGCTCTGGGAGGGGAGTGGGGGCTGGTGGGTTAGAGCAGGGGGGCTGGGAGCCAGGACTCCTGGGTTCTCTACCAGGCTCTGGGAGGGGAGCGGGGGCTGGTGGGTTAGAGCAGGGGGGCTGGGAGCCAGGACTCCTGGGTTCTCTCCCTGGCTGTGTTTCAGTTCCCCGTGTAAATACCCTTGCACAGGGTGATGGGTCAGTTGAGGATTAACACATGAAGGAGTTTGAGTCATGGGGTGGTGGGGCTGTGGACAGAGGGGCCAGGGGGACGGATCGAGGGGAATCTCGAGGTGGTGCAGGAAGGGGATTTTCCAGCGGGATTTGGCCTTGGGGCGACCACGGCTGGGATCCTGGGTCCGGGACCCACAGGCTGGGGATAAATTGGGGAGGGGTCAGAGAAGAGCCAAGAGAAGGATTAAAGGGCTAGAAAACCTGTCAGGGAGCGAGAGACTCCCAGGGGGATCCAGGAAAGTACTTGGCTGCCTAAACCCCCGAGTTGGGCACCTCCGGCCCAGCTCCTCTGCGATCCACCGATCTCCCGCCTCGCCCTGTCGGCGCTAAACTCACTGGGCGCCCGCATTCCTCAGGGTAACAGTCCCCTCGGCGCGGGAGTTCCTGCCTCTGGGCCTGCGTCCTGCACCCCCCCGCCCCCCGGACACCTGGTTCCCGCCTACCCACGAACCTGGGCAGGGCAGCGTTCAGCTCCTACATGACGTGTGGGGCCGGGCCAGTGGCTGCTTATTGGATCGGGTCCCTTTCCAAATCCAGCAGGGGCATGGGGTGCCCCCCCCATAGCTTCTAGCCCAGCAGTTCCTGCACACTCCAGAGATGTGGGGGAAACAGGGTCCATTCCCCCTCTGCCGGGGGGGAGAAGGGGTTTGAACAGGGGTCTCCCCCGTGGTCTAACCCAGTGACCCTAACCCAGCTCTGTACGGGTGACCACTTTCATACAGCAAACCTCTGAATGCGACCCCCCCCCTTTTTAAATATTTAACACTATTATAAATGCTGGAAGCGAAGCAGGGTTTGGGGTGGAGGTTGACAGCTCACGACCCCCCATGTAATAACCTTGTGATCCCCTGAGGGGTCCCGACCCCCAGTTTGAGAACCCCTGGGCTACAGGCTGTTCTGGGGTGGGGGGCTCCCTCCCTCTCTCCTTTGCAGCTGTTGCCCCCTGAATAAATAGCAAATGGGGGACAGGACCCAGGGTCGCCCCCTCCCAGGTGGGGGCCCTGACAACTGGCCCACACAGTCATAGTCTCTCCACCTCCCCCCCATGACTATTTTCGTATTGCTCCCCAGTGGAGCACATGGCCTAGGAATGTGGGGGTCTGGCTGGGAGGCGCCGTGTGCTCCCCCCCATCACCCGGAACCTGGCACCCTACCTGGGCGATCCCTGGTGTAAACACACTGTATCGGTAACACAGCCGCCGCCCTTCGCACCTGCCCATTCCGGGCAGCAGGTGCAGGAGCCAACCCCTCCCCCCGGCGCTGCCAGCCCCAGGACTCTGTACCAGCTGCCAGGCCAGGCCTTTGTCACACGTCGCAACAGGCCCTTTGCCAGGTGTGATCAGATCCCAGAGCCACCCCCCTCTGATCCCACTGAGCCACGGGCTGGTCAGGACCGGCTGGGTCAGAGAACACGATAAGGGGCTTTCGCTTCTAGGGCACCGGTTTCACTCCTGCACAGAGCTGGGATAGAACCCAGGAGTTCTGGCTCCCAGTCCCCCCTGCTCTAACCCACCAGCCCCCACCCCCCTCCCAGAGCCAGGGAGAGAACCCAGGAGTCCTGGCTCCCCTTTCCCCCCCAGTAGAGTCGCAGTGTGCGGGCCAGTTACGCTCTCTGCCTGCAGCCCCACTGGGGGTTGTGCTGTGGGGGTTCACGGGCAGAGGTTCCTGCCTGTCGCCCCATTGACCCGGAGGGGAGAGCGCGGAGCCCGCAGGACGCAAACACGGCCGGTCTGCTCTGCTCATTTCCCCTTGCGAGAAGGTTTGTGGGGAGCCCTGTGCCGGCTCCCTGCAGGGCGTGGGGTGACCCTCAGTCTTCCCCGGGCGCCCAGGGTCCCTGCACTGAACCCGTCTCCTCCCTTTCCCCAGACGACCATCATGGCGGTGGAGTTTGACGGCGGGGTCGTGGTGGGCTCCGACTCCCGGGTGTCTGCGGGGTAAGTGCCGGGCCTCAGCCAGGTGACAGGACGGGTGCGGGGGTGAATTATCACAGCTCACCCCGCTCTGTATCCCTGGTGCAAGGGAGGGGGCGCAGGGCTGTTCCTCAGGTGTCTGTCACCCCCTCCGGGCCGGGGTCACACCTGGTGTTTGGGGTTTGGCCTGCGCTGGGGCCGGGCTCTGCAGTGGGGCCGGCTCGCCCCGAATCACGCACAGATTGTCCTCATCGCTTTTCGGTGAGACGCCTGTTCCGGTCCCTGGTGAATAGAGGGAATCTCTCTCGCCCCCCCGCGTAGGGACACTGGCTGGACCGTGCCCCGTTGTGAGGGGCTGCCGGAGCTTCTCCCCATCCCCTGGCTGCCCGGTCGCTGCTCTCTGGAGTCCCAGTTCCCACCTGGAGTTTGTGCTGGAGACCCTGCGTTAGCTGGACGCACGTCCCAGCCTCATCCCCTCCACCTGGGTCCTGTCCTCAGCCCCTCGGCTTCCCCGGGGCCCAGCCGAGCTCTCCAGCCGGACTAGAGCCCCCCTCCCTGGGAACCGTCTCCCTGCACAGACCCCACTCCCAGGCTCCCTGCAGGTGCCGGGAGCAGCCTCCCAGAGCGTCCACACACACCCCGGGTTCCTGCCCCGGTTCTCCTGCGAAGCGCCCCACAGCCACGCCTGGCCCTGCTCAGAGCCCAGGTGCAGCCTCTCTGCTGGGCAGGGGGAGCAGGATTGCTGGGATTGGGGTCTGCAGGTCGTTAACCCTTTCCCCACCTTACACTAGAGCAGGGGGTGGGCGTCTGTCCCACCCCACCACAGGGGGCTGGGAACGGGGCAGGTCCTGGATTCTGAGTCTGGGCGCCTGGGTCTGACTCCGGTTCTGCGCTTGGGGCTCTGGATTTCACGCTGGGATCCGGATTCTCTCCCCCCAGGGAGGCCGTGGTGAACCGGGTCTTCGATAAGCTGGCCCCGCTGCACGAGCGGATTTACTGCGCTCTCTCCGGCTCCGCCGCCGACGCCCAGGCCATCGCGGACATGGTGCATTACCAGCTGGAGCTGCACAGGTAGGGCGGGGAGGCCGGGCGGGGTCCCCTGGGGGTGCTGGCGGGGGGTGTGGCTGGAGCTCGCATGACCCCCCCCCTCCCCGTTCCTCTCCCCAGCCTGGACATGGACGAGGCCCCGCTGGTCCTGGCGGCCGCCAGCCTGGTGAAAGGCGTCAGCTACAAGTACAAGGAGGA